CAAATCAATTTTAGTTCTGGCTTTATTTAACAGGACGGTTTATAAAACTGTTTCAGTTAACTTTTATGCTTATTAAGAGTAATAAATTTAATTGAAGTTATATAAAAATAATAGCTTAGACTGTCTAGACTTTAGTTAGATATCGTTTAACTTCTGTATGTGGCGTTGTCTTTGTTTTAATGTTTATCATCGTAATTTTTTTGGAGCCACTCCTTTCGAAATTAGTGTTATTTTATCTGGGTTTTTGATGAGGATAACGTCACATTAAATTTAAATGACATGAGTGGATACGGTATGGTAACTTGGCAAAATGTGACTTTGACCAAAAATAAAATGGAATACATAAAAGCTTTCCGAGGGACTTAATCGGGTGTTGGTGTGGATAAAACATCAGCACCACAGTTGCGAAACATCACAAAACATGTCAGAAATGAGTTCGTCAACAAATTTTTTTTCTTCTTTTTTTCGTTGTTATGTTTGCTTGAAGAACATCAAATTGTTAAATGACTGTGAATGAACGCATAAATTAGTATAATTTTAATGACTATGGAGCATTAATTTTCTAATATAAACTTTTTTCATTTAATATTTTTTGTCTCTTCTACTTAGGGTGTGCCGTAAAAAACGGTTTAGTTAAAGCCAGTCAGTGCATTTAATAAATGTTGTAGCTAAGTATTTCATTCGATCAATATGTAATTTTTATATACGAGTATAATACATAATAAAAAGAAAATATAGAATTTAAAATTAATAATATTTTAATGCAGTATCACAAAGATAAAGTGCACAAACGTCAAAATAACCCTCATTGCGAAGGTTCTAATCATAAAATGTTATATATAATAAAAAAAAATTAATCATTTAAAAAGTGATGAAAGAGTTTTACTCTAATGGCCAGGCTTTGATTCTAATATATAGTCAACAGTTACATTCAGAAGAAAATAACTAAAGTTAAATTGGAAGGCTGTTAAACCAAAAAAATGAATTAAAATTAATAATTTCTGTAATTTTCAATTTTTTGTAATGAAATAAGCATCTAATGATATCTAAAATTTTATATCTACCTAAGGTATTTGAAAGGTAACTTCTATTTTTTTTTTATCAGTCAACTAATTCGTTTCAAGAAGCAGAAGAACACGAATATACTTTTCGATTACACGTTTTCATATCTGTAAAGATAATTCAATAGTTCTTGATCCTATCACACATTGACCTTGAATGTGCTAAATTCAAGTTTTAATACGATTTTAAATTTTGATATATCTAAACTCAAAATTATCCAAAAAAAGCTATCTATTAATTAGTTGGATGTAATGGAAAATTTCAATTTTCGTGAAAGAAGTTAGATAGAATTGTTTATTCAATTCGTAAGATCTAAGCGATAAATTCGTAAATATAATATATAAAGTTATTTAATAAAGAATAAATTAGTAAGAATAATAGTAAGAATAAAAAATACTGTAAAATTTGATAATTGTTTATTTCAAACTTTAAATAAAGTTTAGTGGTGTGAAACTTGGTAGAAAGGCGATCTAAAAATGTTCATCAGCAAATCGTGAAATCATACTATAAGCAAAATTTTCAGCTGACAATTCTGAAAAAGATGATGTAGTATAAGATTTCTCGAAAACAGCTTTTAAAACAGTTTACGAAACATTCTCAATAAATCTTTGTGAAAAGTTTATCACTTTGTAATAGTCTTTACTCAGAAAGGCTGAGCAGTACGTGGAGTATATCAACAATTAAGTCTGAAACAATTACAATACTAAAATATTAACATTATTCTGCTTAATGTCGCCATTGAAAACAAACTTATATAGCAATTCAATTGTCTTATGCACAGAGAAATTTATTTAATGCTCTTAGAAAGCATTTTTTTTAATTTGTAACATTCTCACAGATCAATCATTATCTATGAAAATGGATGGATGGTCATCACTGCGTTTAATGAGGACTCACGCATAAGACGATGCCATAAACTTCCCGTTTTCCTATGATTTTCTCTTAAATTTTTTTCTAATATTTTTCGGACATTTAAATTTGATGTTATCCTTTTGAAAGGTCTAAAGTATTAAAATAACACGAGTTGTTTAATGTATCTAGTATATTATCAATAATTAGAATTGGATACATACAATTTCTTCTAAGTTGATAAAATCTACTATTAACTTAAATTCTTATTAATTATTTTCGTGTTTTTTAAAGGAATTTTTATTGATATTTCCTATCGTTTTAAATTGAAAATACTATAGGTTTAAATGTTTTTTTTCCTTTTTTTGCGGAGAACAATAAATTCTCGAATTACCTGTCGATCAGTTAGAGTTTAAATTTCGTGTACGATTGATTATCTATTAATATGGTATATCTCCATTTTTATACAGAAGTAAAGAGCTGCTGTCTTCAGTTCTGGAATAAAATTTCTTTTCTACTTATTTAAATGATCTAATGGAGCAATCCTTATATTCAGAAAGAATGAATATTAACTTCATTGCTCTTAGATATAAATGATTAACTTATTTCATTACTATCATTTCCCATTAAATGATAGTAAGGATTCTTGAAGGATATTTCTAACTAATTCGCTCTTAGATTAACAGGATACTGAAGGTAATATGACACTTTGTAGTTAGTTTTTAAAAATATATATTATTATTAGTTAACTTATATTTTTTATGCATATTATTTGTGTTTATTATAATAATTGATGAGTCAGTATAAAGCAAAGCTTGAAACTCGTGTTTTTCAGTATTAAATTTTAAAAATATATATTCCTAACTTTATTTATAAAAAAATGTATTTATAAACTGACATTATTAAATACACAAATTTGCAACTAAGATACTATTTTCTTCAGAGATGGCATACTCTTCTATTATATCGTCTCTTATTTTTGTAATTTTATAGTCTAATTCTATTATAATTCTTATTATTTACAGTCAAACTTATTTAATTTTTCGATATTTGATAACTTACTGTTGCCTACACTCTTCCACCGTGGTAGGAGATTACAAATTCAGAATATTTTTTAGTCACCCAACGATTTTAATGTTATGGATGAATTGGAAGACATTATTGTTATTTTTACTTCACTCTGCTAATACTTTGCTAACAATAGTAATAAGTGCTATGAGAATCATCGTGAGCATTAAATGATAATGAGGATAGAATGCTTTGCAAGAGATTCGATTATTATTATTTGCAGTTATAAAATTAGTAAATATGACAATCCATTATTCTATCATGACCGAGTTTGGAGTCATCTTTAGTCTAGTAAATATAATTATCCTTTGAAATATGTTTATTTTTTTTATAATATAGTTAATAATATAATAATATGGTTAAGCAAAATTGGTTTTCTTGTTTTTTCAGTCTACATGCACTCTTTAGATGCTATCTTGTTCATACTTAAATAAACAGAATATTCGGGACATAAATTTACACAATTATAGGTTTTTTATTATATTCCTATCTATTTATTTCAATTAGATATTATTCTAAATTTGCTTGGGAAGATGCCTTTAACTGTCCGTTTTTCTATTATTTTAATTTATCCAAAAGTTTTATTTAATATTTTTTATATTCAAAATTCAATTTAACTGATATTTTTAAAATTTATTCAGTTGATCGGATGATATCAAACCTAAATTTTAAAATCATTCTACGCTAAAAAGTCTGAAGTGTCCATTATTTAAAACTACATTTTTGATTTTAGAGCTAATAGTAAATCCAAAAAAGATTATCGGAGTTTATTTTTAATTTTTTCGCATTATAATTCTAATTAAATAGAACAGCATTAACGACTCCAAATAATGACGAGCAAACGTACAGATATACATAATAATTTTACATTAAACTTATTCCACATGAAATCACAACCTACAATCAATGGAATGGCTTTATATAGAAATTAAATCACTTTGGGCATAGCTAGATTTGAAAAGTGCTGTTATAAAGCATATTTTTTAAGATGCTATGAATAGTCAGAAGCTATAGTGCTATATGCATATTCACTTTGTATTTTTAAAAATTTATGAATTTAAAAAAACGGATTGATTAAAGTTAGGAAGAAATATGTTCGTGGAATATAGAGAAGAAAGAAATAAAAAGTAAGTAAATAAATAAATAATATTGAATTAAAAGTAATCTTTAAATAGTTAATATAAAAACTATTATATTGTAAAATGGCCTGATATTTTTCGGAGGAAGAATTTTGCCATAATAATGGGTTCTCTGGCTAAGATGCTTACTAGTTATTTAGTTATTAGCAGTGAGATACGAAAATAGTGATATGTTTTCAACTTCAATATGACGTTTTTTAAATAGAAATCTAGATATGTAACGAAAGGTCCCGATCATGATAGACCATTCGCATAAATAAAATAATAATTTGAAATTTAAATTTTTTTATTGATAATTAAATAGTGTAGTATAAATTGTTATAAGATATTCATTTATTTCTATGTGTAAGAAAGAGTTATACACTCTCACTCTGTGTACATATAAAAAATTCTGACAATCTGAAAGAGTTTAAGAAAAATATACGACCGGATTTGTGTGACTATGGTGAAGGGGATAAGTCCAACTTATCTGAGTATGCACCTAAAAAAAACATAGTGGAAAAAAATGTATTTATTTTAAATACATCCATGTGTGTTCAATTGATCACAAGACGCTAATACTACGCTTTGACGCTAATACTAAAACACATTTTTTTATTTATAAGTGCATTTTACTGAGCTGAGTTAATACGGTACCTAGAACTTAGGATATAGTAATTCAAAATGTAAAACCCTTTGATATGTGACTGTACAGAGATTGAACCAAAATTGTCTCCGGAGAACTAAGCACAAACTTAAATATAAATATGTTAATTAATCAATAATTTGTGTAACAAAAAATTTCCAATTATTTATGAATTTAAATAGTTAAGCTGAATGTCATTTAACTTTAGAATATTCTTCTTTTTTATAATAGTTACGAAAAATGCTGCAAATTCTTACCACGAGCATAGTTACCCCGACACAGTTTTTAACGGTTCTGCAAAAAATAAAGCAAAAAATAAATATGTTAAGTATATTAAATAGTAATAATTTTCAATAATTTTTAATTTGATATAGAAGTTTTTAAATTAGATTAATTTGATAAAAACTTTTTTGTATAACATAAGGTTGATATAACTAAACATGATTCATTTTACGGATATTGCATCTAATAGTTCTATTAGAATTTTAATTTACGAGGTTATCTATACTTTGATAACTTCTCCCGGCTCCAAGCAACCTCTTATGCAGGCAAATGAAAAAAGTTATTATTATTGAAGGAAAAGTAATAACTGATATAAAAAAAGTGATGTAAAAAGAATACATAACATATGTTATAAATAATTAGTAGATAATATCAAATCTGTTAGAGAAGTCGATATTAGGTCGGCTTACAGTCGATTAACGTTCACAATGCACTGACTAAGCATTGTTTAGACATATTTAAGCTTAAAAAACGAAGATTCTCATGCAGTTTAAACTATATATTGTCATAACTATACAGCAGAATTGTGCAGTAATAGTTTTATATTAACCAAACAATCGGAAAGGTTATAATATCTGTTCATTTTGAATAACTCTGTTTATAAATTTAATAAATATAATGTAATAAAATCAAAGATGCTAAACGCGAAATAAAGTGGCATTTTTAGTGTTAAAAGTACGAAATTATAAAAAGACAACCGCAGAGAAAAGTGTCACCAATCGTTGACAACTATGATTGAATTATACGCATTGTAATTCGAAAAGTTTTTCAACACTACGTATTCTTTGAATTTGGTTTCAAATAAATAGAACATTAGTTTGTGATTATTAAAATGATGCTTTGATGAAACCTTGAATTAAAAACTCTACAACTTCTTCAAAAAAAAAATGGATTAATATGTCAAATGTATATGGAATAAATTATTTAATAGACTTGAAGGACAATATTTACTTTACCAAGGAATTCTTCGTAAAATTTTAGATCCTCTACGAGTTGACGACGACTATCGCATACGAATGAACCACGACTTTTAAGAGCTTTCTCACGACATTGTTATAATTCAGTGTATTTACATCCAGCGGCTATGCTGGCTTAGTCATGTCGTGAACATGGATGAAGATTTTTAAAGTAGTAGTTGGATAAAGAAGGCGTAGAGGTAGACGTAGAGGTGTCTCCAGTGATCAAGTTGAAGATTGAAGAAGGCGCACACGTAGCAGAATTGCCTGGAGAGATATGCTGCGTTACACCGAAACCTGATAACGGGTTGTTTTGCCCAAATAAGTAAGTAAGTGAAGAAGAATATATTAATGAATAAATGTAAGGTTCATTAAATGAAATGAAGGTTTATAAGTTAGGCTAAAAATTTACACCTCTCAGTTTTTATAAACAGTTTGAAAATTCTCAGATATTATCTTGCACTTTAATCTCCTTCAACTATAATACATATTTTTCTCCATTTTTTAGCAACTTGTTAGTGCGATTAATAGGGTTTATGAAATATTCTTTTAGAATATATTATATAAGACTACTTCAGTTTTTAAAAAAATTTATATTCAAGGGATATGTTTGAAACCCATCAAATCGTAGTTTGATTCATGGTATTTTATCATTATGTGAGTTTTTAGTTGACTGAAGGTGAATTTTGTTCTATAAAAGCTGGTTTTTTGTGACTTATCTTTACATTATATTTTTTAATTAAATAATTTTATTTAATTTTCGTTGATATTAATAAATATAGTAAGAAAGAAAGAGTAAAACTTACGTTTTTTACTTTGAAAGTATTGAAAATTTATATTATTATTTTGTTAGACATACATTGTGACCGAAAAGCTTTCGGAAATTCTCATTTAAAATTCGCGCGCTGTATATTTTTCGATATTTTAAGTTTATGTAGTTTGGCAGCACTGTCCTTAATTACTATGCCAAAAATGAGCGCGATCTGTCGGACAGTTCGTTTACGGCAGCTGTTGAAACCAGTTCACCTCAGTAGTGCGTTGCGAAAAAAACAATGGAAAAAAATATTGAACAAAGAGTTTGCATCAAATTTTGTTTTTCGAACGAAATTTCGTGTGCAGAATCGTTGCGAATGCTACAAAAGGCTTATGGGGAATCAGTTTTATCGAAAACTCAAGTTTATGAGTGGTACAAAGCCTTTCAGGACTGTCGTACGACCGTCGAAGACATGCCGCGTTCTGGACGACCTTCGACCTCTACCACCGACGAAAACATTGAAAAGGCAAAGGAAATCGTGTTCAAAAATCCTCATGTGAGTGTTAGAGAGATAGCACGAGAGCTAGGCATCGGTCGTGAGATGGCTCGTTTGATTTTGGTGGACAATTTGTGTATGCGACGTGTCAACGCCCGGCTTGTTCCGATTCACCTCAATTTGTTCAACATTATCAACGATTTTAAGGCCAAACATTCAATAAATACCATCGAACAGCCACCGTATTCACCTGATCTTGCACCGTGTGACTTTTTCCTGTTTCCCAACCTCAAATTACCACTCAGAGGAACGCGTTTTGAATCCATAGAAGACGTAAAACAGAATTCGCAGAGGGAACTCAAAGCCATACCGGAAAGCGCCTATAAAAAATGTTTTGATGATTGGAAGAAACGTTGGCATTTGTGTATCGCTTCTAATGGAGCATATTTTGAAGGAGATAAAATAAATATTGATGAAGATTAAGAATTTTGCGTTTTATTTAAAATTTCCGGAAACTTTTCGGTCACAATGTATATTTGTATTCTCGAAATTTGCACTTTACACTATATTTAAATTATTATTTAAAAGATAAACAGAAAGTGAGCACAACTGTTCTGCACATTATTTACACAAAATGTTGTAGGATCGCCTTCAGCTATAAAACTTTAACTGACTTTTGAAATCAGCAAATTTACTATACCATGTTAAAGTTAACATTCATTTATATTGTGTCCTTTTAGTAGAAATGACCTTTAATTTACAAAATGAGACAATAATGGCATGCAACTTGAAACAACGCTTAGTAGCCGCTGGACTCAACTAGACAAGACAGAATGCAGAATCATTTAAAATTTTTATGAAATATGTAGAATGCGTCGCAATATTTTCATGCGACTGCAGTCGTTTCGAGTAGAGTGCGGAATCATATAGTTATACACAATTTCAGTACCTTGCGGTACCGCAGGCACCAGTACAATCTCTGTGTAGTCGCATCTACTGTAGTGATTTACTTTGCCTTTCGTGAACTTTAAAGTCAAAGCTTTAGCAAAATTGTTAAAAACCTAATGAACATAGAAGGACTATGATCAAAAATGGTTACTGTGGATTTATGTCATTACACATTTACACGTACACGCATACATTTCATACATTACACCCACGGTAAAAGCATGTGATGATGTTTGCTGTCAACAAATATTCCAAAAATATTTACGAGTCACCCGAAGTCCTTACGCTATGTGAAAGCCCTAATGATGACGTCATTTTGTTTTAATTTAATTTGAAGGAAACATCGTAAAAGTGTAACTAAGCATTTTCCCAAAAATGTTGCACCACTTGCCGTACACATCACAGCAACACGTAGTGACAATCAAGAGTCATTAAAAGCAGAATACGAAGGAATTTTCGTCGATCAGGAATATTTTAGAAGTACAAAGTTTTTTTTTTGTTTGCTGACAGTGTCATCCTTGCGTGACAGTGTTGCATACTCTTCTGCAGTACATGCACAATGTCGTTCCTTTCTAGGTCGTTGGCTATGGAATTAGTGTGGCAGTAAATGGGGAGCACAATAAAAATGTGCAGAAATTTAATATAATAAAAGCTGTTTGATGGCGCTTGCAGGAAAAGGTTGACTCAAGGAAATTGTTAACGACAGCCACAGCAAACATTTTACATTGTTTCTATGTACACGGCACAATGCCTTGTTAACAAGGATGCGCGCTCTAGTAACATGTGCCACCAGTTGCGCTATTTCCGTTGGTAAAAAAAATATTTAATCTCTACTGTGTTTAAAGTTTAGAGAAAAAAGTGCTGAGCGAACGAAATAAAGAGAATAGCCTTCGAAGTTCTACGCGCTTAATAAAGCGAATAGAGATCTACAGAAATGTGGGAGAGCACGACCTTAAATCATGACAATTTGAATTACGTTTTTTGTGACGTTTTTTGAAATTGACTAATTAGTGAGCCCCTTCTTTTGTGACACACGTAAAGTGTTGCTGATTAATGTATGTGGTTATTAGAATGGATAGGATATATATTTCATAAAAGCGATGTGTAAGTTCTTTTTAGTTTCAAAAGCAATATGTGCATTCTTAACAGTTCACAGACCGTTTTTTAATAGGGGTATTTACGCTGTCTTGCAAACTCATTGCAAGGTGCACAATATGCACAGATTGCGCGAGCTTGCAATGGACAACAACAAAAAAACGCACAAAGTTTCTTACAATTGCATGCAATATTGATATATTTAAACCCATGTACATATGCTTGCAACGAAAAAATAAACAACTATGTTGATATCTGTTGCTTCTCGTGGGAATATAGTATGCTACAAAAACAGCTGTTTTATTTTGATGTTGCAATTCTGCAACAGAGGTGTTCCCTCACTCTTGCAATTTCAGTATAGCATTATTGCATTTCGTGCACCCTGCACTGTAATGAAACCGTGTGAATACCCCCAATATGTCTGTTCTTTCTGTGGAATATATATTGAAGATTTGAGACTATAGTATAGACTATATAGATTAAAACGCTCTCCGCTTTTATTTTTCGTTTTTGCAAATTGTGTACTCGTAACGTTAATGTGAATCTATGAATTTACACCTATCCATACTTTTTAATCATTTCCCACAATAAATTCTGTTTACCTTTTACCGTTCATTTTTCACTTCTCAACTTTAAATGCTAAGGACATGTTTGTAAAAAAAACAATATTCATAGTTCTCTCGAAATTTCGAATATAAAATCTTGCGTTTATAGAATTTCAATGCCATTTCCCCTCGTATCCCCACGTACAGAATTGTGTACAATGC